TTAAGGATGAAATTGTTAAGTACTTTTCATAAAATCTGTGTTGTGAAAAATCTGTTAGCATCCAATGAAACAATAAAAAATATAGAATGTTTTCAGTCCAGTATTTTGTTCCAAAAATTGTTTCAGAGATGGTTTTGAAAAGAAAAATAATTTCTCTAATATAAAACTCCATATGTCTTTTCTTTCTTTCCTTTTTTTTTTGTTTTTTTTTTTTTGTTGTTGTTGTTGTTGTTTGCTACAAGACTAACAGAAACCAGCTTTACAATTTCTAGGAACACAGTGTGACAGTAATCCAATGACTTTCCTGTGCTTCTGTCAGTAGCTCCTTAACAGTTTAGGAAACAGAAACATTAGTAAATGTCTCTGTAGCCGGCAGAACTTTGAAAACCTGATTACTAGGCTTTTATAATGAAAATGTACATTGGCAATTTTACTAATGAAAATAAAATCTAGCAGTGTTTATAAAATGATACGTATTTTGGTTGGGTATATAGCTTGAATAAAACATCAGAAGCCTGATTCTGAAGAGGTAATCAGTTTGCAGAACTTGGTTTCCCTGAAATGAGGTAGGCCAGTGTGCCACTTCTGCCCGAGAAACTGGTTTCAGGTTTAAATTTCAAGGTTCCACGCAGGAAGCTCAGAAAGCATTTGGGAAAACAAAGACGGTCACTGAAAACAGAGGTGGAAAATTCTGACAAGACGAAAATCTATCCAAAGCAGAAAAGATGAAACCAAATACATTTTCAAGAGTTAGAGAAAGGACTGTTAGTATTTTTAAAAAAAAGAGTACTGAATTAATAATTATAAAGATATGACTTGCCTCCTCACTGTAAAGATAATTTTTATGAGGAAAAGCAAAATTCATTTTTGTTTATTTATTTTACTTTCAAGCAAAATTCATTTATGTTTATTTATTTTACTTTCATCTCCAAACACTAAAATATATGATAGGTATTGTAAAATTTCTATTTGCTGAAAAAAAATAATAACCCATCCTCAACCTTGCTCCTCCAACATAGAACATTCACTTGTCATTTCTGTTGTTAAGAAAAGTAAGAGGGCCGGTGGTCATGGCACATGCCTTTAATCCCAGCACTTGGGAGGCAGAGGCAGGCGGATCTCTGTGAGTTCGAGGCCAGCCTGGGCTACAGAGTGAGTTCCAGGACAGGCTCCAAAACTACACAGAGAAACCCTGTCCTGAAAAAAAACAAACAAAAAAAAAGGTAAGAGGAGAGCAATGATATTGGGAAATCTAAACCCTCCAGAAGTTAGAATTATCTCTGGTCTGCAAAGGAAAGGAGAGAAATCCAGACCACTGGGACCACCTCTGGAGAAGGACATCGCCAACAAGCATGTGAGAAATCTGCCCTAGCTGCATGTGAACAGAAGCAAAAATGCATTCACTGCAGCCAAATATCACAGCCAGAGCAGTAGAAAGTTAATAACCTCAGTCCAGAGCACGTGCTGAGTATGGCAACGGAGTTCGGATGGTCTTCAATGTATCCTTGATAGTAGCATTGAGACTAGGGATGAAAAAAAGGAGACTAGTTACTAAAGACCTTTCAAAACTTTCAAATAACTTCCTGCTTTGAAAAACAGACAGAAGAGGGTAGATAGTGTTCATAAATACACAATTACAATGGGGTGCACAAAGTGAGATACTCAAAAAGTCTCCGTAATTTTTTTTCCAATGTAGAGATTTAAGACATCAATTAAAAGCCCTGAGAATCTTTAAAATTGTAATGTGCTGCCTAAAAAAGGGGCACTGGGGCCTAGGATTCTAGAAGCTTGAAGCGCCAGTGTGCCAGGAAAGGAGGGCTCTGGAGCCATGCTAACACAAAGCGTGTCATCTGCAAGGACAGAGGCAGGGCCAGAGAAGGGATGTGGTGGGGACAAAAAGATGCAGGGTGCTCCCTCCACACCCTTTCACAGACAACACACTCCCAGAAACAGAGCCCAAAGGGAAGAGACAGAAAAAAAAAAAAAAAAAACCCAGAAAACACACAACCATATTAAAATACGTTAAAGCATGGTTTTACTCAATAATCGATCAAGCATTCAAACTCCTCAGGTCTGAACAAGGTTAGGGGAGGGGCACCGAAGAACACCTGTGGAACACAGAAGGGTTGAGGTATGTATGCAGTGGGGGCAGTGGACACAAAAGGTCTTGGTCTGTGCTTCTGCGTATGCATGTTCTTAATCGGCTTATTTTACTTCCATTTATATTCCTCTCTCAGGAAGTATCGGTGAAGCAGCAGTCTGTAGGCAGTAGCCATGAAAGGCCCTCAGTCAACTAATTTAACCCCGCCAAGACATCAGGAAGCAGTTAGGAACCAGGTGGTGAGTACCTCAAATATATCGCCTCCGGGTCCTGAGAGTCTGGTGTGCTGGGAAAGTATTCACCCAATTCTTTTAAAGTTTTCTGAAAACTCATACAATAACTGAAATCTTACCGGGATGTCTAGAGACTGAGTAGTCACAAATCCTTTATTGTACGAATAAACCATAAAACGGTCTGCTAAAAAATAACTGCATGCAGAAAAGAAAATTCTGAGTTACTCTTTCAGAAATAACAGAGCAGCTGTCGGTAAACTCTGCCCCACCCCACGCTTCTGTAAATAAAGCTTTATAGGAACATAGACATGCCCATTAACCTAAACATGCTAGGGGGACATTCCAGCTACAACAGCAGAGGTAGGGTGTTTGGGCAGAAACAAGAGGGTCTTAGAAACTAATAGGCTTATTCTCCTGAGCTTTAGAGGAAAGGGCAACTTTCAGCACAGTGGTAGTGTTTTCTTTGCTATACAATATACTTCAGGCAAAGTAATACACATTTACTCAAAATAATGGCTCCAATTTAATGGGTTGTTTTTATTTTTCAGAGAGATTTACTTTTTTATGAGTGAGTGTGCCTGCGGATTTATGCACCACAGGGTGTGTAGGTGCACATAGAAGCCAGAGAGTAACCTGTCTCCTAGAGCTGGAGTTACAGGTGCTTAGGAGCCATTTGAATTCTGGGGAGCAAGCCTACATCCTTTGCAAGGGCAATAAGCACTCTTAACCACTGAGCCTTCTCTCCAGCCCACTTGGGCTCCTTTTAATAAAGGGAGGGGGCTGCAAGAGGGGTAGAGCCATTTGTTTTTATTTACAGGGATATCAACTGGATGGAGGGTTTTGAGAATTTTCTACTCCTTTATTCTAATATATACAGTATGATATATTATATATCAATATTATGTTATATATCAATATTGCATATTGATTATATATCAATTATATATAATACTGCATGTTAATGTATGCAATATTAATTGTATATAATAATATATTAGTTATATATTGGTATAGCATAAAAATATTAAAATATAATTATATATTATTTATTATAAACAATACATTGTATTTTATAATTTTATATACTATTTTTATAATTATATATCGCTGTATATAATTATATGAGACATATAATTATACATTTTAATAATATGACATATTTTATTATATTATATATTATATGACATGTGATTATACTGTATATAATAATTAAGATATAATAAAATATAATACATGTTATATATTATGATACATACTATATATGTAATATACATTTTATATATATATATGTCTGATAATGTGGTTGAAGAAAATAAAGTCCTATTATCCTTAGAAACTCAGATCTAAGCTCAAACTTCTTGGGGGACCATATTCTGCACATACTGTGTTGTTTCAGCTTTACTTCTGCCCCTCACCCTCCCTCTGGCTTCAGTGAGCGCCCAGTCTGCTGCTTCCGGTTCTCCACTGGACCTGGTCTCCCAAGGGCTAGCAGTGGCGCCCCTCCCACACGCCCTAGCTGTCAGGTCTGAGTGGCAGGCAGAGGGAGGTTAAGGAAAACCACTGCGCCGCCCTGACTTGCTGGACGCCATCTCTCGGTTGGTGTCCGTTGGCGAGCCTGCCCTTCCTCCTGCTTCCTTCCTGTCTCTCTGTGCATATACACATTCCCGCATCTCGGTGTTGCCCATCTTCCTTGCGTGTTTCCATGGCAATCAGTTACGCTGTTTTCCCTTCTCACACTGAAAACTCATTCACACCTCTGTTAAGCATAGTTTGTTCGATTTTAGTGATGGCAATAACAATTTTTTTTAAAAAAACCAAATCATAGCTTCCAGGCACTAGAGAGAGAGATCAGAGGTTAAGAACACTTCCAGAGCACCCAGGTTCAGTTCCCAAATGCCACATGGCAGCTCACAACCATTTGTAACTCCAGTTTCAGAGGACCAGACATCCTTTTCTGGCTTCCACCATAACCAGGTACATACATGGTACAACACATACATGCAGGCAAAATATTCATATACATAAAATAAAAAATAAATCTTAAAAAAAACATAATTTTGAGTACTACAGTGTAGTGGGTAGCCATTCCAGCTTTGATCTGGAAGTTCCAACCCCCATTGAGGCTTCGGTAACTATCATGCCTACAAAGTGGGGCCAAGGGAGGGCCCTGAAGACCCGAGATCCGGATGCGCCGTGCTCTCTTGGTTCCTGGACCCTGAACGCTAGAGGCAGATGGAGGAGAGTTCTCCAGAGAACACCGCCGAACTGAGCTGAGTCTTTCCCAGAACCTGCAACCTACCTATCCCTTCATTTGTAAGTTACACCACTAAATAAATCTCCCTTTTAACTATGTGGCCTTCACTCCATGTAGATATAGATAAGATAGATATGGTAATATCCTTTACCTACAAGAACACCGTGACATCATCTTTCCAGTTCAAGTGTTTTTCTCCCTTTCTTTTGCTGAACTCTTCTGACTGGCACTTTCAGTACTGTGCTGGATAGACGTGGTGAGGTGGCCATATTCTTGATCTTAGGAGGGACCCTTTCAACTTTCACCATTGAGTATGGGGTTGGCTTGGGGTTTGTTATATATAGACTTTCTTATGTTGAGATGCATCCCTTCCATATTTAATTTGTTAAAAGTATTTAAAAAAAAAAAGCCAGCCGGACTTCAGCTTGCGGTCACCTCTTCTCCAGAGTTTAGCCGAGACGGGGACCGCCCTCGGGGACAGCCTCGCCTACAACCACTGGCCAGATGGAGCCCAGCACCTCAACTAGAAGGCTTTTCACCATCGATGACTTTGAAATCGGGCGTCCTCTGGGCAAGGGGAAATTTGGCAACGTGTACCTGGCTCGGCTCAAGGAAAACCATTTCATTGTGGTCCTGAAGGTCCTCTTCAAGTCCCAGATAGAGAAGGAGGGATTGGAGCACCAGCTTCAAAGGGAAGTGGAGATCCAGGCGCACCTACAACATCCGAATATCCTACGCCTGTACAACTACTTCCACGATGCTCACCGGGTGTACTTAATTCTGGAATATGCTCCAGGGGGCGATCTCTATAAGGAGCTTCAGAGGAACCAGACATTAGATGAGCAGCGTACAGCCACGATAATAGAGGAGTTGGCAGATGCCCTGACCTACTGTCATGAGAAGAAGGTGATTCACAGGGACATCAAGCCGGAGAATCTCTTCCTGGGGTTCAAAGGTGAGGTGAAGATCGCGGACTTTGGTTGGTCTGTGCATACCCCTTCTCTCAGGAGAATGACAATGTGCGGGAATCTGGACTACTTGCCCCCAGAAATGATTGAAGGGAGAACATATAATGAGAAGGTGGATCTGTGGTGTATTGGGGTGCTCTGCTATGAGCTGCTGGTGGGAAATCCACCCTTCAAGAGTAGCACTCACAGCGAGACATACGAACGCATCCTCAAGGTGGATTTGAGGTTTCCTCATTCAGTGCCTGTGGGGGCCCAAGACTTGATCTCCAAACTTCTTAGGTACCATCCCTCAGATCGGCTGGACCTGGCCCAGATCCTGAAGCACCCCTGGGTCCTGGCCCACTCTCGTAGGATCCTGCCTCCTGGTAGTCAGCCTGCTTCCTGAGCCCTGCCCCTTTGTGTTTATTCAGGGAGCTTTCCAGGCTCTGTTACCTCATCTGTCTTGTTTGTTTTCTCTTTGAAGATGCTAATTAAACCTGATTTAACATCTTTAAAAAAAAAAAAAAAGTATTAAAAAAACATGAAATGTCAAAATCCAATTGTTTCTCCCACATTCTACTGTTGAATTAACTGCCAACTGAGCATTTCCCCTGGGCTGACACCCTAGGCAGTTCACAGCCAGCCTTACCACAGGAAGCCCGTGCCTCTGACCAAGGTCTGCCCACTCCTGCCCTCTGCTTCGATTCTTCCTTCTAGTCTTACCAACCAAAACGTGTATTGACTGGTCTTCGAGAGGCAAGGCTCTATTTTATTGGTTCCCAAACCTCATTCACAAAATCACTGGAGTAACTGTTCATAGAGACAGCTGACAATTTCAATGAGAGCTCTCTATTATTATTCTATACTCCACTGCTGTTACAAGTAAACTGTTTCAAAGAAATAAAATGAAATACCAAGCTAAAAAATAAAAGAGAAATCACCTTTTCTGGAGGTGCACAATGTATCTCTTCTTCTCTACTGGAATAATGTAGGTAACCTGTTCCTAGAGAGTCCAGAAAAACAGAGTTAGGACAGATTTTGATGAGAAGCAAACAGCAACTCAGAATCAACCAACCCCTCCAAGCATGTTTCAAATAATTCATAAAATCATCGCACATTGCCTGTGTTAAAAATTGGCAACAACATATTGTAAATGTTTACCTTTTTATATAACCCATTCACTGAAACACAAACAAGCTACTCTTGATTTACACAGGATTAGAAATCTCTGCATTACTAAATCCTAAACGCCTATGAAAGAAGAGCCCATGTTAGGGAATATTATTTTAAGGTGTGTTACTTTTGTTTATGTTACATTTGTTTAACTCTGTGAAGCTGTGTTACTGTGCCTGTGTAAAACACCTGATGGTCTAATAAAGAGCTGAACGGCCAACAGCAAGGCAGGAGAAGGGACAGGCGGGGCTGGCAGGCAGAGAGAAGATATAGAAGGAGAAATCTGGGAGGAGAAAAGTAGTAGCCGCCAGAGAAGGAGGAGGACTCCAGGGGTCAGCCATCTGGCTACACAAATCACTAAGTAAGAAACAAGAAAGGTATACAGGAATAGAAAAGGAAAAGCCCAGAAGCAAAAGATAGATGGGATAATTTTAAGAAAAGCTGGCAAGAAACAAGCCAAGCTAAGGCCGGGCATTCATAATTAAGTCTAGGCCTCCATATGTGATTTATTTGGAAGCTGGGTGGCAGGCCCTCTGAAAGAGTAAGATGACAATCCCATGCTGTCTGTCCACAGTCTCTTCCTTGCACCACGAAGATGAAAGCGCTCCATCTGTTCCCTACATAGTTCTTGTATGAATCACTTCTCAAAACAAAGAACGATTGTGGGGATTTTAGTTGCCAGTAACAGCGCTTCACCTGTAGTGTCACGATGCGCCTGAGTACACACTCCTTTCACTTGCAGAATAAATGGGGAGTTGGAGTTAATGCCTTAGAGCAAGCAGGGATGTTCATCTATGGAAGCCACAGGCCATTTGCTGGACAAGATGTTAAATTTATGTTTAAGTTTCTCGCAGCAGGCAAATGCCTACTTTTGATGCCTAAGAAATCCCACTCCTGGCAAGAGAGCAAAATAGTTGAATAAGACACTTGAGAGTTCAGTTTGAAGCACGCACATTGGGTGGCTCACAATTCCCTGGGTTCCAGCTCCAGGGCATCTGACACCCTCTTCCGACCTCTGTGAACACCTGCATACACAAGGTGCACACAGAGACAGACGGGGGGGGGGGAGGAAGAGAGGGAGGGAGGGAGGGATGAAAATAAAATCTTTGAAAAAAATCTGTTGATTTAAAGAAAAATCAGAAAGATCTTAAATAAAAGCCTAACCATTTATGTGAATGTCTTGCTCAAACAAGTATGAGCCAGGCCACAGCTGAAGACAGCCAAGTACCACTACAATGAACGAGTGTGAGATGGAGAAGTGGGAAAGAGGGAAAAGCAGAGTGGTGTATGTGCTGTGGAGAGAGGCGGACCTGGAGACATGATGTCAGTGAGAGGGAAGCGGTCAACAGTGGAACCCTTCGTCACCCAGGAGGGTCAGCAGGGTGGCGTGTGGCAGCTGGCTTAGAGCTTGTGCAGACCCAGCCTCCCCATATGCCACGGCATCACCCCGGCTCTGGGCAACAGTGGAGGCCCGAGTCCAGGAATGGTTCACTTTCTGGATTGGACCTCCTTGAAGGGACTGCCGTGGTCCATGATGCCACTGGAGGCCATGTTGGTGTATGAGGTCCAGGCCATGGTGAAGTCCAAGATCCATGTGAAGAATTGTGGTCTACGCCTCTGACTGATGCCTTGCTGATGTCTTCCAGCTTTACTGACACGGTGGATGTGAGTGGCCTGTGTAGCCACCAGAGACCATGTTGAGACCCGTGGTCTGTGCTGCCACTGAGGGCCTTGTCTGGTTCCGTGGTCCTACTGCAGCCAGGGTCTGGGTTGATGTCTGTGGCCCATTTTACCACTGAAGGCCATGGGGATGTCCCTGATCTGTGCCATGTTACTGTCTGAAGCCATGTTATTGTCCATGGGTCAAGCTGCCACCAGGGGCCGTACAGATCTGAGTGCCCACCTGAGGCCATGACCATGTCTCGGCCATGGTCCTACTGCATCCAGGGTCTGGATTGATGTCCATGGCCAGTATTCCCATCAAAGGTCATGCAGAGGTCTGTGATCTTTGCTGTAGCCTGAACCCATGTTGATGTCCATGGCGATGCGGTCCCTGTCTGTGCTACTGCTGGAGGCCTTGTCTGGTTCTATAGTCCTACTGCAGACGGGGGCCGTGTTTGTAGTCTATGCTGTCGCCAGAAACCACGTGGAAGCCCATGATCAGTGCTCTTACTGACTGTGAAGAGCTAGGAGGCTGCTCTTGCTGTGATACTGATAACTGCAGATGCACAGTTGAGGGGGAGGGACAAGGAGGCCCTACCCCCACCACATCATATCCCCCCCAAAGTAGCAGCTTATACAGAAAACCATCAAAGAGGACTCTTAGAAAGTATGATGTGGATGCTGAAGTTGTTGTCTACACAACTGATGGCTTCAGGCAGGGGTGTGGGAGGGGAAGGACTCGGTTCTAGAGAAGGGGCAGGCCACTGAGAGTTTGACCATGCTCCAATGAGTATGTAGAGAACACAAATGGACACGGGTTTTTTTTCCTCTTGCTTTTTATTCTTGCCTTTATTTCACTTTTGGGGGGATCACAAAGGTGGGGTGGACATGGAAGAACTGGAGGTGAATGTGATCAGGGTGCATGATGTAAAATTCCCACAGAATCAGTAAAAAGGTTATGGCAGGAAAAAAAAAAAAAAAAACAAGTGTGAGCCAAACCCAAAATTAGTAGAAGGGTAGAAATAATATCAGAGCTAAAATTAACAAAATGAAGAATAATGAACAGTTCAATCATTCAATTATTAAAACAAAGTAGATTCTTTGTAAAAATAAAGATCGACAAACCTTTCATCAAATTAAACAAAACAGAAAGACAACAAATAATAAAATTAGAAATTAAAGTGGGGGTTTTACCATAGATACTACTGAAATCCAAAAGACCAGTAGGAAATATTTGAATATATTTCAATACATTTCTAGAAATTAATAAATTTATAGATATATATGACCTACCATCATTGAACCAAAAGAATACATCTAAACAGAGGCTAGAGAGATGGTTCAGCAGTTAAGAGTACTGGCTGCTCTTCCAGAGGACCCAGGTTCAATTCCCAGCACCTACATGGCAACTCACAACTGTCTGTAACTCCAGATACCCTCACACAGACACACATACAGGCAGAACACCAATGCACATAAAATAAAAATAAATTATTTTAAAAATTTAAAAATATGTATCTAAACAGATAATGATAACTAATGAAATTGAAGATGAAATAAGAGGTCAGTTAACGATGAACAGGGACTAGAACTAGGTACATGCCCTGCTGAAATTCCATCAGACCCTTCACAAGGAACAACCACCCTCCTCAAACTGATCAATAAACCAGAGATGGGAGGAATGCTCACTCAAGAAGTCAGCATCATCTTGACACCAAAACCAGAGAAGAACATCACAGAATATACACCAATTTTGTTGATGACTGTAGATGCAAAGATCCTCAATCACATACTTGTAAGTGGAATCCAGCATCACATTAAAAAGATCATAGACCGTGAGCGGGTTAGTCTCATTCTAGGAACGTAAAGGTGGTCCAACAGATGCAAGTCAATACACACAGTATACACGTAAGTACATTCAAAAGCAAATAAATAAATAAATCACATGACCAGGGCTGAAGAGATGGCTCAAGGGCTAAAAGTATAAACTGCTCTTCCAGAGGACTTGAGTTCTGTTCCCAGCACCCATGTCAAGTGGCTCACAGTTCCCCTGTAACTCCAGCTCCAACACCTCTGGCTTCCACAGGCACCCACACATATGTGCCTATACCCACAAACAGACACACACTGTTTTAGTTAGGGTTACTGTTGCTGTGATGAAACACTATGACCAAAAGTAAGTTGGAGAGGAAAGGGTTTATTTGGCCTTACACTTCCACATCCTAGTCCATCACTGAAGGAAGTCAGGACAGGAACTCAAACAGGGCTGGAACCTGGAGGCAGGAGCTGATGCAGAGGCCATGGAGGAGTGCCGCTTACTGGCTTGTCCCTCATAACATGCTCAGCCTGCTTTCTTATAGAACCCAGGACCACCTGCCCAGGGACGACCACAGTGGGCTGGACCTTCCCAGCCCATCACTAACTAATCAATCACTAATTAAGAAAATGCTCTACAGGCTTGGCTGCAGCTGGATCTTATGGAGGCATTTTCTCAACTGAGGGTCCCTCCTCTCAGAAGACTCTAGACTGTGTCAAGTTCACATAAAATTAGCCAGCAAAAGTGATTCCTTGTCAGCTTCACACACAACACGTTTTAAGACATAGCCTTTCTTTTTTTTTGTTTTGGTTGTTGCTGTTTTGTTAGGTTCGACCCCCAAGATCTTAGA